GAACCGGCCCCCCCACAAAGTGGGGGCATTGCCCGCCTCCTATGAAAACCCTGGCACTGGTGAGAACGGAGTGTCCCCACGTGCTAGTAATTGTTGTTGTTGTTGTTGTTGTTGTTGTTGTTGAACATTATTCCTTCTAAAGAATTATTATTGTTGGGACCCCTGGTGCGCGACCTCTGCGCCGCGCCTAGGCCGCAGCTACATTTTCATCATTTTTTCGCGAAAGCTTCAGAAAAGTGGATGAGCTCCGGATCCGGTTTTTTGTTGACGCTCGTTTTCCCTTGCAAAAAACAATAGAAAATGAAAATTCTTGTTTTTACTTGATCAAATTGCAAGAATCCCTTGCAAAAAATAAGGTAAAGTGGACATTCGTGCGCGCAAGACGAAATCCTTCCAAAACCTTAGGTTTCGTAGCGATTTTAACATAAAAACATCAAAAACCCAATGGTTTTCTCAGAAAAAATTGTCAAAATGTCCTTCCGCGCGCTCTTGCGGATTCCTAGGAAACCCACCAGATTTTAAACATTTCTGTTAAAAGGGCCTTTGCGAGGAACCTTTTCAGGTGCTTCGACCTTCTGCAACAACGGTTGCGAGCCTACGAGGGCCACCATCCCTTGCAAAAAATGACACGAAGTGCACATGCGCGCGGCCGCCGCGCGCGCGTGCCGAAATCCTGCCAAACATAATGTGATTTCAATAATTTCAAGATGCGATGTTCCGAAAACATATGCAAACGCAAGACTTTCTCATCCGAAAAATATCAAAATCCACCCGCGGGCTCTTCATGAATCTTTAAAACCCAAGATGGCCCCAAGAGGCGCTCAAGATGGCCCCAAGAGGCGCCCATGAGGCCGCAAGAGGTGGGTGTATAGCAGTATGCGGTATTTGCTCGGTCAGCTCGCTATTCCCATTCATGCGGAGATCGTATCCGGCCTCTCCTACAGGGCCCTCGCCACCTTGGACGTATTCATTGCGTATCACGCGGCCTTCATGGGTACGGACCCGCAGAAAATGGCCATTTGGAACGTATCCCCTGAGGTCGGCCCAGAGATGAAGTATCCGCGTCAAGACCAGTGGTGGTGGTTGCCCGTATGGCGGTCTTTTGGTCAGAGCGACGAGTATCCGAACATGCTCGATTACCCGGCCTTGCCACCGCAGGTCCACAACGTGCTCGCGTTAGCACTGCCGTATGCAAGCCCCGGCTCTCTCGCCAGCAGGCGTATCGGCAATATCATTGGGCATTTGGGAGCGCACGGGTATCAGCCAGGCCCGCACCTGCATCAGCCAGGCAGCCATGTACCCAAGCGCCTTTGCGACGTCGCAGACGACGAGTCGCCTTAGTATGCTTCTGGGTGAGTATACTCCTACGTGTGACTGGACCTGTTTGCGAAAGCAGGAGAAAGTATGGCACCCCTTTGTGTCCAGAGCCGCGCCGTCTGCGTTATTCCTTTCTCGCTTCTCTCCTTTCCTCCTTGTCCTGCTCCTCCTCCCCCTCTTGCGCCTCGGAGCCGTATTGGAACTGTCGATGGCCATCTCCCTGTCTCCCTCGCATGTCTGCTTGTACATATGTATAATTTCAGAACTAAACGTGCATGTGATCGTTTAGAACATGGTGGACCGTGCGTATGTCACGAACCTTGTGTACTTTCTCTCCCTCCGTCTGGCTGTGCACGCGCGCGTTGGGCAGTGAGAGTTAGGATCACAGCGCCACCAGTGTATGAGCAATGCATGCGTCATCCTTGGGACTGTATAACAGCAGAAACAGACAACATTGCATCGCAGCGGGACAGCCATCGGGACAACCATCGGGACAACCATCGGGACAACCATTTGGACAAGCATCGGGATAACGATCGGGACAACCATAACCATCAGGACAACCATCGGGGCAACCATCGAGACAACCATCGGGACAACGATACCTTCTCTCTTGTGTCCTCCCACATCCCTCAGGAAGTTGCCCTAAAGATGTGACCGACTCCTCTCTCTCCTTCTCTCTGTCTCTCGCTCTTTCTCTGCTTCATATCTATCATACGTAACACATCTACTTGTGTAATCGCCTTCCCAGGAATTTGCCTCAAAAATGTGACCAACTATCTTGGCACTGCGTACCATCTCACGTGTACCGTGTACCACATCTTCTCAGGTTGCCTCACACATGTGACGAATCTCTTTCTATCTCTCTCTCCACTGGCTCTCTGTCTTGCTCTCTCTCTCTCTCTCTCTGTCTCTCTGTACTATGTATGTCATACGCAACAAATGCACCATGCGGGGCACATGCGGGGCCCAAACAAGTGATCAACCTCTGCGGGTGTGTACTCCACGCCAGTGTAGTATCCACGATCGTCCGCGCGCCACGAAGTGAAGTGTCCTGACGTCATAGGGCGGGAAGCTGGGTGTGGGTGGTTCCCGAGAGTCGTGTGGATGTTTGGTAGAGCTTGCATTGCCCCCCCACGAAGTGGGGGTATTGGCTGGCGTCGCATGAAAACCCTGGCACTGGGGAGAACACTGAGCGTTCGGGTAAAATGATTGTTGTTGTTGTTGTTGTATGTGTGTGTGTGTTTTGTTTTTCTCCCACAGACCGTACCATGTCAGGACGCCCTTCGGGTTCCGCTTCGGCGCGGCACGGTGTACAACTCGTCGGCCCTGCGGGCCAGAGACCAGTGCACCGTACCACGCCTGTGCCGACGACCGACGACGCCTCGGAAGACACCACTGCGGCACGGTGCGCACGAGTCGGCCGCGGACCAGAGGTCACTCCGGCGGAGGGTCACCTTTAGAGGCCTCCTGTATAGGGCCCGAATAGATGGGGTCGGAGGACCGCGCGGCATCGCCGATGCATCGGCGCCACCGGCATGGAGAAAATCGAGCTCCGAATCGAGCCGCCTAGCCGATGCATCGGCGACGCGATCCTCCGACCCCGGCGTGGAGAAAGTCGAGCTCCACATCGAGCCGCTTAGCCGATGCATCGGCGACGTGATCCTCCGACCCCATCTGTTTCGACTCCCTTTAGGAGGCCTAAGTGCACACCAGTCGGCCGCGGACCAGAGGCCACTACAGCGGAAGGCCACCCTTAACTACGTGTGCGGCAGGTTCGTGTCGTGCCTGTCGTGCCGACTTCGGCGTTCAACGTTGAACGCCGGCGGCGGGGTCGCCGCTGGTCGACACGACCCGATCCTATCGAGACCGTCTGCTTCGACCCCATCCAGGAGGCCTACAGTTAACACGTATTATAAGCATGCAATGTAAGGATGCAAATGGCCTTCGAAGGCCACGCGGCACGCTTCGAGTGGGGCGCGGCCAGAGAAAGTGGCCAAGGATGGGCCGAAAGGGAAGGATGCAGGGGTACTCCAGGCGACAAGGGTAATCGGGATGGGGGAGGACTGACCTTCTGACGGACCGCCCCCATCCCCCCCGCACCGCCCCTCAACGAGCGTCCAAAACTTGAGCTGCAAACCTGCCATCCCCCCCTATCCCCCCCCCCGACGGCACGCGCCCCTCCCCCCCCCCGAACCCAAGGGCGGGGCGATTATCATGCCAACCGGAGTACAGTCAACCCGTAGAGTAAGGATGCGCGATATGGATGCAAGGCCCTTGGACGCCCATTTCGAAGCTTTTCGAGCAGGGCGCGGCCAACGAGTGGTCAAGGATAGACCGAAGAGGCAAGGATGCGAGGGTACCCTTGGGAAAGTCGCCCATCCTTACTCTGCGGGTTAACTGTAACCTGGGAAAACTGATCATCCCAGGTGCATATCAGTCGACTGCGGACCAAGAGGCCACTCCGGCGGAGGGGCACCCCTGCGTGCAGCCGAGCCGACCCGCCGCCCAACGGCCGTCGGAGAGGTACCAGGCTCAGAGGCCGATCTTGCCGCGCCGCCAGTGGCGGCGGAACTTGTTGTACCTGCGGCACGGGCGCGGTCTGCGGGTGTCCGCGGGGCGGGCGTGCGCGACGGCCACAGCGGACGGATCAGCCTGCCCCGGCAGAGGGTGGTGATGATGGTGCTGACGATGGTGAAAGGATGCTGATGATGGTGGTGGTGGTGATGATGATGATGATGATGATGACGACGACGACGATAATGATGATGATGATGATGATGATGATGATGATGATGATGATGACGATGCTGATGCTGATGCTGATGCTGATGATAATGAGGATGAGGATGAGGATGATGATCAGGATGATGATGATGATGATGATGATGCTGATGCTGATGCTGATGATGATGATGATGATGACGATGATGATATTGGTCACGATGCTAATGTTGGTGATGATGATGGAGGTGGCAGTGGTGGTACGGATGATGATGCTGCTGATGGTGATGGTGATGCTGGTGGTTTTTGGTTTCGTCTCGAAGCGATTATGCTCCAGGCGGGACCAGCCCCAAACAGTGCCAGAGGTGGGTCCAACATTTCGGCTTCGCAAAGCTTCCGAAAATGTGCATCGCCATACAATATGAAATTACAGAGGCTGAAAGACGACCGAGGAAGGGCACGCAAGCCGGATATGGTGCAAAGATATCTTGGAACACACCGCACGCATCTCCTGACAACCGATGCACGCCCACGTGTCCGAGCCCCTGCTGAAAGCAAACCGCGACATAACCAACACACAATACATAATGGCGATGATGTACACAAGATACAGAGGCGACAACCGGTGTGGCCAATTCGAATGAGTGAACGCACAAATTCTAACATATCCTGGTTTCATTCACGTCTCCAATGAGAACGGTTTCCATCACCTTCCGCGCGGGTCGCCTGTTGGGCTCGGTCTGGATCCAACAGCGCCTCTCGATACATCTTGTGCGCTTGTGCGCCGAGATCGATCGTCGCGATGCCTTTGGCCCGCTTCAACAGGGTTCGGGCCTCCAGGCATTGCGCCTGCACTTGGTCCCGATGCTCCTGGGCCTCCTGGTGTACTTTCTCCGCCCAATCACCGCTGCGTTATAGGAACGGCCGAACGTGGACGCCAACTCCGGGCAGGACGTCACGGCCCCAGCCAGGGCTCCCCAATTGCAGGACCTGAACATCTGCTGGATCTCCTCCGTGGAAGGCCTTGAAGCGGAGCCGCCTGCCTTTTCCTCGGACTCGGGTCTGGCTGGCACCCCGACCTTCAGGTCATTGCCCTGGGCCGCCTTCGCTTCGCAGACCTCGTCGACCTGGCCGTCCAGGCTGGGGTGCTGTCGTTCTCGGCACCGTGGGTGAGCTCGGCGTCTCCCTCGCGGCCCTCGCCGAGGCTCTGCGCGAAGCCCTCGCCGTCCTCGCCGCCGTAGCCCTCGAGGTTCTCGCCGAAGCTCTCGGTGTCCTAGCCTGCGCATTCCTCGACGCCATAGCATTGCTTGCCGTCGCCCTCCCGGTCCTTCTCGCCACAGCTCCGTGCGCCGTCGCCCTCGCAGCCCTTGCCGCCGTAGGTCTGGTTGGCGTCGCCCTCGCAGCCCTCGCCGCCGCTCTGCCCATCGGGGACCCCCGAGTCCTCGCGGGAGCACCGGTGGCCGTCACTCTCGACCCCTCGCCGCCCGCGCTCTGCGTGCCGCGGTCCCCGAAGTCCTCGCCGAAGCTCCGGTTGCAGAAACACAAGTGGCCCTCGCCGCCGTAGCCCTGGTCGCCCAAGCCCTCGCAGTCCTCGTCGCCGACACTCCACGTGTCGGTGCTCTCGCGGACCTCGCCGCAGGAGCTCTGGTTGCCGTCGCCCTCGCGGCCCTCGCCGCCGTGGCTCTGGTTGCCGCCGCCCTCGCAGTCCTCGTCGTCGGAGACCCGCGTGTCAGAGCCTTCGCAGCCCTCGCCGCCGAAGAACTGCGTGTCGGTGCCCCCGCAGCACTCCAAGATGATGATGACGACGATGATGATAATAATAATAATATTAATATGAATAATAATAATAATACTAATAATAATAATAATAATAATGATAATAATAATACTAATAATAATATTCATAATGATAATAATCATAATAATAATGCTGCTGCTGCTGCTTATGATGATGATGATGATGATGATGATGATGATGATGATGCTGATGATGATGATGATGATGATGAGGATGATGATGATGGTGATGACGATGGTGAGGGTGATGGTGAGGGTGATGGTGAGGGTGATGATGATGCTGATGGTAATGATGATACTGTGTGATAGTGATGATGCTAAGGATAAGGATGATGATAGTGATGATGCTTAGGATGACGATGACGGGTTGTGATAATGATGGTGATGCTGATGGTACTGGTAAGCGAAAAACCTTCAAGTAGAGGCCCCGAGGCGGCTGCGGCTGACCCCGTCGCTCATACAAGCTCTTCCTGGGCACCACAGGGCAGGCCAAGCACGGCGCAAGCACTCGGCGGTCTCGTCGAATGGATCGACCTCCCTGGATGAGGACCCTGGTAACCTACCTTCGCGTTTCGCGCCGTGCAAAGCGCGAAACGCGCATAATTTGGCGCTGCCACTGGATAATGTAACCTAACCGGCCTAGACCAGACACGCGCTCCTCTTCGCACCCCTGCGGGCGATCTCGATGTTGTTCCTCCTGGCATCGCCAACCAGGTGGCCTGATGGAAAGAGAGAGAGAGAGAGGCCGAGCAGCGGCCTTCGCCCAAATTCGACCTGCGGGGTCCTGGACGCCTGGACGCCTCCCCGGGGCCCTCCAAGACTCCCCAAGGCTGGCACGAAGGCCTAGAAGGCCACCAAAATAGCTCAGCATTGGCTCAAGACGGCTCAAGCGACCGCAACAAGCACCCAATAGATCCCAAGAGGCATCCAAGTGGCCCAAATAGACTTCCAAGGCACTGTTCAGGAGATCCCCGAAATGGATTAAACGTACAAGTTCTCCTCTGTGGTTTACATTGGTTTACATGCTTTTCGCTGGTCACGCTCTTCGGTCGAAAATCGGTCCACTTGCGGTCTTCGAAGGTTCAACACGGCTCAATGAGGCTCAATGAGTCCCATGGAGGCCCCCAAACGGCCCAGGACGGCCACAGAAGGCCCCAAGCAGGCCCAAGAGGGCTTCCAGAAGGGCCCGAGATGGCTAAGAGGGCCCCTAGCCAGCCCAAGGCAGCCCCAGGACGACCCCACGACGGCCCCAAGAGGGCCTCAGAACGGCCCAATAGAGCCCCAAAAGATCCCAAGACTGCCTTACAGGAGCCCAAGTAGCCTCAACACGGCCCTCTTTAGACCCCCATCAGGGCTCCTCAAGAAGAGGCGACGAAAAACAGGTGTCGGAAACAATTAAGCAACCATGGTTCGAACTCCCCCCCTCCCCCGAATGCAATGTTGGGTTCGGATCCTCCGAGCTTGAGCGCTAGACCAGTGATGCGTTAACGTGCCAACCTTGAATTGCGGGGGGGGAGTGTTGCTCACTATTTTCCCTGCTCCACATAATCATCATCCTGATCATCCTCATTATCCTCATCATCATCGTCGTCATCATCATCACCACCACCACCACCATCATCATCATCATCATCATCAGCATCATCATCATCATCACCATCATCATCACCATCATCATCACCACCATCATCATCATCAGCATCATAATCATGACCATCATCAGCATAATCATCATCATCGACATCATCATGATCATCAGCATCATCCTCATCATCATCACCAGCATCAACATCAGCATCAAATCATCATCAGCAGCATCATAATCACCATCACCATTAGTATCACCATCACCATCATCATCGTCGTCATTATCAGCATGACCACCACCATCATCATGATCAACATCCTCATCACCATCATCATCACCATCATCATCATCATCATAATCGTAATCATAATCATCAACACCACCACAACCATCATCATCATCATCATCAGCATCACCACCATCATCATAATCATCATCATCATCAGTATCAGAATCATCATCAACATCATCAGCATCATCAACAGCATCAGCATCATCAGCATCATCAGCATCATCAGCATAATCAGCATCATCAGCAGCATCAGCATCATCAGCAGCATGACCATCAGCATCAGTATCAGTATCACCATCATCACTATCATCACCAACACCACCACCATCCTCATCATTGTCATCATCATCACAATCATCACAATCATCACCATCATCGCCACCATAAGCATCAGCATCACTAGCATCATCACCATCACCATCACCATCACCATCAGCATCAGCATCAGCATCAGCATCATCAGCATCAGCAGCATCAGCATCATCATCACCATCATCATCCTCATCCGCATCACCATCATCGTGACCATCATCATCCTCACCAGCCTCCTCCTCCTCCTCCTCATCATCATCATCAGCATCATCACCATCATCAGCATCAGCATCATCATCAGCATCATCATCATAATCAGCATCATCATCAGACGCATAATCACAATCATCATCACCACAACCACCATCATCAACATACTCATCGTCATCGTCATCGTCATCATCATCATCATCATCATCATCATCATCAGTTGCATCAGTATACACATCATCATCAGTGACAGCATCATCATCAGCACCATCAGTATCATGAGCACCATCAGAACCAGCATCATCACCAGGACCATCAGCAGCATCAGCATCATCAACATCATCAGCATCAGCATCATTAGCATCAGCGTCATCATCAGCATTATCATCATCATCGTCATCATCATAAGCATAATCATCATCATCATTATCATCATCATCATCATCATCATTATCGTCGTCGTCGTCGTCATCATCATCATCATCAGTTGCATCAGTATAAACATCATCATCAGTAGCATCATCATCATCAGCACCATCAGTATCATGAGCACCATCAGAACCAGCATCATCACCAGGACCATCAGCAGCATCAGCATCATCAACATCATCAGCATCAGCATCATTAGCATCAGCGTCATCATCAGCATTATCATCATCATCATCGTCATCATTAGCATCATCACCATTATCGACATCATCACCATCATCAGCAGCAGCATCATCAGCAGCATCAGCATCATCAGCAGCATCAGCATCATTAGCAAAAGCATCAGCATCATCAGCATCATCAGCATCAGCATCAGCATCATCACCATCACATCGTCCTCAGCATCATCACTACCATCAGCATCATCACAAGTATCATCATCATCACCCTCATCACCATCATCGTCACCATCATCATCCTCACAAGCCTCCTCCTCATCCTCCTCGTCATCATCCTCATCATCACCATCACCATCATCATCATCACCAGCCTCCTCCTCCTCCTCATCACCATCATCGTCATCATCATCAGCATCATCATCATTACAATGCGTCATCATCATCAGCATGATAAACATCACCACCATCACAATCATCAGCATCATAATAATTATCAGCATCATCAGCAACATCATCATCATCGTCATCACCTTCATCAGCATCATCAGCGTCACCATCATCAGCATCAGGATCATCATCAGTATCAGCATCATTAGCATCAACATCAGCATCATCATCAACGTCATCATCAGCATCATAACCATCACCATCATCATCAGCATCAGCATCATCATCATCATCAGCATCAGCATCAGCATCATCATCACCATCATCATCATCATCATTATCAGCATCATCATCATCACCATCATCATTATCCGCACCAGCCTCCTCCTCCTCATCATCATCACTACCATCAGCATCATCATCCTCACCAGCCTCCTCCTCCGCCTCCTCAGCATCATCAGCATCAGCATCAGCATCACCCTCATCATCATCATCATCATCATCATCATCATCGTCATCATCATCATCGTCGTCATCAGCATCATCATCATTATCATCATAGTTATTATTGTTATTATGAGTGCTATTATTATGATTGGCGGGCGCGGTCTTACAAGGCCGGGATGACGCACACTTTTTGCGGCTTGCTTCAAGAGAAGAACAAGAGAGAGAGAGAGAGAGAGACAGAGAGACCCCACGTTTCCCTGCGCGCCCCGCGAGGACTGACCTTAGGCCTTGACCATAGGCCACAGGGTCGGATGTCTCCGGGGGGTTGTGCTTTTTCTGCCTGCGAGTTTTTTTGGCTGGGTCTTTTGGTGGGTAACACGCTTCGTGGCGTCACAGTGGCGGGGTGAGACGACGGTGACACGACGGTGGCTGGGGGGGGTGACGACCTTGGCTGGGGGTGGGACGACGGTGAAGCGACGGTGGCTGCGTGGGACGACGAAGGATTTGGGGGAGTCTCATGCTTTCCTGTACTCAGAATTCGCTCTCGGAGGGTTGGCAGCAACAAAAACCCATCGGGCCTGGAAATCAAGCCCGAAGGATCTTTGGGTTCTCGTGCATTCCTGTGCTCGGATTTCACTTTCGGGGAATCGGCGGCAGCGAAAATCCATCGGGCCTGAAAATTAAGCCCGACGGATTTGGGTGAAATCACGCTTTCCTGTACTCAGAATTCGCTCTCGGAGGGTCGGCAGCAGCGAAAACCCATCGGGCCTGGAAATCAAGCCCGAAGGATCTTTGGGTTCTCATGCATTCCTGTGCTCGGATTTCACTTTCGGGGAATCGGCGGCAGCGAAAATCCATCGGGCCTGAAAATTAAGCCCGACGGATTTGGGGGAATTTCACGCTTTCCTGTACTCAGAATTCGCTCTCGGAGGGTTGGGAAGCAGCGAAAACCCATCGGGTCTGGAAATCAAGCCCGAAGGATCTTTGGGTCCTCATGCATTCCTGTGCTCGGATTACACTTTCGGGGAATCGGCGGCAGCGAAAATCCATCGGGCCTGAAAATTAAGCCCGACGGATTTGGGGGAATCTCATGCTTTCCTGTACTCAGAATTCGCTCTCG